GGTTAAATTTTTGGGTTTTGGGTAATTTGGGTCTTGTAATTCGGGTTTTTCATATTAAAAAAATTACCCGGTACCCGACCCAAATTAAATTCGGGTAATTCGGGTTTGGGTAATTTGGGTAATGGGTCAGCTAAGGGTAATTCAACTATTACTCCCTTTTTTTTTTTAATTTTTTTATTGTTCTTTCAATCATATTTTATAATGTTTTTTATTGCAACTTTCGGTATCAGATAATCAAATGATTTATTTATTATCTTATTTTTTTGTTGTGTTTAATTTTGAAATCAAGAAATAGTGGCCAATTGCTTCATCTAATAAACTAACAAAGGTCACCAATTTGTGGATTACAAATAGTTGTTTACCTATCATTGTTGTGTTAGGTTCTTTTATCTTCTTTTATCTTTAATATATTGATGATCATTACACATTATGTAATCAGTAAATGAAAATCTACATAGTAATCAGTAAATGCAAATCTACATATTAGGCTTAATAACTTACAAAAAACAAAATTACATGACATGGTTTAATAACTTCAAAATAAACCACATCAGGCTTAAGATCACATTTGTATTTAAATTCGACCATTAACCTATGTTTATTTTTCTAATGACAGGACCATATTTAGGGGGTAAAAAAAAGCAATAGAATTTGGATTAGTAAGCAATCTCTTCAACATATTTACTTCAAAATACATCATATCTGGTTACCCAACAACCTGTTCACAAAAGCAAAATAAACAGAACAAAACCAAAAGGTTGAAATCCAAATTCCAAACATATTCTGATTCATGAATAATCAAACAATAGCATTTGGATTAGTAAGCAATCCAACTTCAATCTATCATATACTCTTCTTGTGTAGTCAAATAGAAACAAAAGCAAAACAAAAAACGAGCCAGCAGGTCAAATTGCAACATGAATGAAGACTATCAAGTAAAGGGACAAAATTTAACTGTAAAATAAAAACAATGGGTGGTTATCACTTACATTCAAGGAAAGTTTGAAATTCAAACTTTGAAGTCCAAATATGTGATTTTTGCCTGGAGGTGATGACTGATGAGGATGACTGTGACGCTGCGAGGGTGTGACGAGCCGACAGGCGACAACCACGACTGGCGAGGCGGTGATGAGCTAAACGGCGAGGAGGTGGGGATGACCGACTGGAGTTGATCTCGATTGGTGATGAAAGAAGAGATGAGGGTTTTTTTAATGAGAAAATAGAACGAGGGAGCTGGGATTTGGAGTTTTGACGAACATGGATAATTAACCCATAAAGGAATAAAATATATCGGGCCATCATTATTTGTATAATAAATTTTCGGGTGATCGGGTATACCTGAAACCCAAAACACTTATCCTTTACCCGACCTGAAAAAAAAACTGGGTTACCCAAATACCCAAAAAGATTTACCCGATACCCGATTTACCCAATACCCGAAAAAATCGGACGGTAAATTCGGGTAACGAGTATTTTCGACAGGGCTATGAACATTATCAGTTCGAAATTTTGGATTCATATTTTGGATTAAGTAAACATTAACAAATTATGATTTTTTTGGGCTCAAAAATTAATCAAATCAAATGTAATGTTGGGCTTGATCTAAAAAACATCTATTCAATCATAAATGGGGTTGAAACGAAATAGATCCAACGAATCAAAACGATCAACAATCAAAAACGAATAGCACGATTTAAAAAATGATTGAATTCAAATTTATAGAAAAACCTTAATCGTTCATCTTCGATCTCAACATAAATTTTTCGGAATCTATTTAAGAATTTGAGACACCTTCTTGATGATTCTTTATCCGTTTGCAACATCATTTATAACAACATGTCCCGAATCGTCTCCTTTTGGGTGTGGGTGATGTAATTTAGATGATCCGGGTGTTCGCTTTTTATGTTTTGGAGCCAATGGGTGTTTTGGTAAAGTTTCAGCTAGGGATTTTACGGAAATTGGATTCTTGTTCCGGAAATTTTAAGGCAAGTATGAGTTGATAAAAGTGTAGAGCTTCTCATTACCTTTTTGTGAATACAAGGATCGTCAAAATCAGACTTATAATGAAAACGTTATGGTCTTCGGAAGAATATAGGGTTTAAAGATAAACCTAGTATGCGGAGCGTACATAGGGAGTACGCAAGGCGTACTAGTGTGAGGTATAGTACGCGTGGTGTACACGGGCGTACGCTGAGCGTATTAAGCAGGTTGGTTGCAGATCTGAGGCCTCATACGCTGGGCATACGAAGGTTACACATGGCATACGATGAGGATAAGAAAACCCTATTTTGGGGTGCTGAACCCTATATAAGGTCATTAAGTCCCTAGGGTTGGCGTCTTTATCAGCCACTATTGGCCTAAAACCCGTTTCTCGAACCCTAATAGCCTCTTTGAGTTTTCTTAAGCTTTGGACTTGATTTTTGGGTGATTTATGCTCCTTGAAGTGAAAGAAGAAGAAATGGAAGACTCATTCATTGGAAGGAAGCTTAGAGATCCAGATTTAGCTCCATCTTTTGGTTACTTTTAAGGTATAAAGTCTCAACCTTTATCATTGCATTTTTAGATTTCTTCATGTCATAGTTTTTATGCTTTTGGTCCCTTTTGGGTTAGTTTGTTGAGCTAATTCTTTTGTGGATCTTATTCTTTTAGATCTCGGCATATTATGAGTTTCTTGAGCTTAAAGGTGCAAGCTATACGGTTTTGGTGGTCTAATGCATGCATTAAGTCATTAGTTAAGTCCTTTTGAGCTTTAAGAGCTTCATTAAGCCATGCATGCACGTAAACTTGGCAACTTTACATGATAAACCATCTCAAGGAAGTCATATCTAAGTTTTAGAGTAATGTATTATTGGGTTAAGAGTTGGAAATTGAAAATGGCCAAATGGGGGAGTACGTTGGGCGTACAAGCAGGTACACTTAGCCTACAAGCCCTAAAGTGAGTATGTTGCGCGTACGTGCTAAGTACGCCACACGTACTCAGCCAGTTAGTCTTCGAATGTTTTGAGCTTCGGTTTGGGCCATAGTCTGACTTAGATGCTTAGGGCCTTGTTAGGCCATCAGAATTCAAGTGTTTTGAGCTTATGAATATTTTTGGACCTTGGATTAAGACACATGAAGGATTTGGGCCCAATTTGGAAAATGGTGCTGTATTTGGGCGTTCGGTGTTTATTTGGAATTTGGGCATTTGGACAATTGAGATTGGGCATTAGGCCAAGTATACGGAAAGGTAAAAAAGGTCTTTTACCCTAGTTTGGACTCGTAAGGTGATTCAAGATCCAGTTATTGATTGGTTGATTACTTTGTGATTGATAGGGCGGAGATTTTAGCGGGCCAACAGCCAGAAATGAAGCACAATGAATTAATTCCGGAAACAAAAAAATACACGATTATGAAATTCCACATATTTAAATATGGATTTAAACAAAAACAATGAAGTAAAGGCATATTGATTATATTATCATCCCGGTGAGTAATGTTTAAATAATTTTATAAAGTTTTAGAAACGAATACCATTTTGAAATGCATAATTATATATTTAAATGCGTATGTATATCTTCGAAAACGAACTTTACAAATTTTTAAATGAAAGTACCTATTATAATATGTATTTATTTAACTTAAAAGCATATATAATATGTACTTATTTCGTATATAATGCGTATTCAAACAAAAATACATGTTATATATATATATATATATATATATATATATATATATATATATATATATATTATATATATATATATATATATTACAATGACTTAAAGATATGAAAATGTTTATACGTATTTATAACGGTATAAATACATTTATAAAGTTATAATAAGTGCTTATTATGTATTTATACATTTAAAAATGTATTTATACATTCATAAAAAATATATTTATATTATAATAAAAATATTTGTAATAATAATGATAATAATAATATCAGTCAGTTGTTTAGATTATAAATACAATCTTTTCGTTATGTTCCAAGCAAATATTACTAGCCTAGTATTAAAAGACGTTAGTTTTGGGTGGGGTTGGCAAGGATTCTATTTCAAACAATTTTCATTTAAAGGAAGAAATTACATGCCATGTTAGTGGAAATGCCTAGTCATCGCCTTATAAATTTTATAAAAGTAAAATTCATGTAAAGGTAAAAAGGTTGGCCCAAATTTAGGCCTCAGGTGTTTAGATTACCTTTTTATGTTAAAAGTCTTTTTTTTTTTTTTTTTAAATGATTTTAGGGTGTTTGAGATTACATGTTAAAAGTCTTTTTTTTTTTAAATGATTTTTTGGTTAGTGATTTTTTTCAAAAGATAGTTTTAAAATGTGTTTGTAATTGCTTTTAGGATAAAAATCATATTTTCATGTTAAAAAGTCTCAAATATCATAAAAAGATAGGATTTTGTAATTTTTAAAATACTAACTTTTCCTCCTACACAAAAAATTATATTAAAAAATCTTTTGTATTACCCAAACATCTTTTAGTTATTATTATTATTTTTTTTTTTTTTGAAAAAATTAAAAGACAAATATTAATTCTTGGTAATCCCAAACACTCCCTAAAGTAAAAGAATAAGGAAGCCCCTACATAAAAGATTTAAATTAAATTAAAAAATGTATTAATGAAATTAAAATTAATTGTCTTTAATAAAATATTTTAAAACTTAATTAGATATTTTATGAAATAACATTCTCCATAAATGAATAGTTAAATTTTAAAAAAGGTTTAAGCTTTACCTAGATAGACTAGAAAGGCAATTTAATTATTAACGGAGCTACTATAATCGAAACCACGATTTTTAGCTACAATAGAAGATTGGTTGTTGTTTATTTATTTTTTTTTTACCTAATTTTGATTAATCCATTTTAAAAGTAAACACGATTCAATTCGAATTAACTTTAAGTATATAACTAAAATTTGGTCACTACTTCACTCTACACTTAGAGCATAAATTTGATTACCAAATTCACAGACATTTTTAATCATAAGGTTACAAATCTTTATAACTCAGCATTAATAACCAATTTTTATTTGAAGTAGTAAAAAGTACCAAAAAAAACTTCAAAAATTTTAACAAACATATTGACAATCACATGTGTAAGGATCAAAACATTTTCCATATGCAAATTTCCCCTTCAAGTCTCGACAATAATTATTACAGTTTCCATCTTGACAGCCCGTTGGCATTGTTGAAAAGGTGTGACAAAACTTAATGTTTATTTTACTATTCGTATTCCCATCACCTAAAAAACAAATGAAACAATTAAACAATTTGTGATATAAAAACACACTAAATCAAAAAAAAAATTGATGTATACATTACCTGTTGTTGCGATTGATGCTTTTGTTATGGTTGATATTGTGATAAGTATTAAAAGGATAGCATACATGTTAACAAGCTTCATGATTGACGTTTGTGTGTCTTTTATATCGATTTCTCTTGGTTTAACAATGAGGTGAAGCAAACCTTCATAAAATTAGGTATTTATAATTTTTTAGAGAGCCAAATTTGTTCCAGTTACCCAACATATTCGATCATTAATTAAGGAATATATTATCATAATTATAAATATTAATTCTTGGTAATTAGAAAGCATACGTCATTAATTAAGGAATATATTATCATAATTATATATATATATATATATATATATATATATATATATATATATATATATATATATATGTTTAGGTTCATTTGAAACCATTTTAATTTTGTGAGACCGTGAGACCAAATGTAAAAATAATTTTAAAATGCAAAATAAATGGAAAAATTTAAAAATTCTTTTTTTAAATATTATTTTCGGAACTTGAATTAACTAAAAAAAATATAAAAAAATAAAAAAAATATAAAAAATTCCTTTTTTTTTTTGAAAAATACGTGCAATATTCTAAATAGAATATTACACTGACATATTCTAAAAAATAATTTTAAAATGCAAAATAAATGGAAAAATCTAAAAATTCTTTTTTTAAATATTATTTTCGGAACTTGAATTAACTAAAAAAATAAAAAATAAAATAAAAAAAATTCTATTTTTTTTGAAAAATACGTGAAATATTCTAAATAGAATATTACACTGTACATATTCTAAAAATAATTTTAAAATGCAAAATAAATGGAAAAATCAAAAAATTCTTTTTTTAAATATTATTTTCGGAACATGAATTAACTAAAAAAATAAAAAATAAATAAAAAAATGCGTCTCACGGTCTCACAAAATATAGGTGGTCTCAAATGAACCTAACCCTATATATATATATATATATATATATATATATATATATATATATATATATATATATATATATATATATATATATATATATATATATATATATATATATATAGTATAAAGAATTAAAGATACGAAAATGTTTATATGCATCTGTAAAGGTATAAATACAAGTTATAATAAATGTTTATTATGTATTTATACATTTAAAACTGTATTTATACATTTATAATAAACTATATTTATGTTATAATAAAAATATTAGTAATAATAATGATAATAATAATATCAGCTGTTTAGATAATAAATATAATCTCTACGTTACGTTTCAAGCAAATGTTACTAGCCTAGTGTTAAAAGACGTTAGTTTTAGGAAGGGGTTGACAAGGGTTCTATTTCAAATATTTTTCATTTAAAGGAAGAATTACATGCCAAGTCAGTGGAAATGCCTAGTCATCAGTCATCACCTTATAAATTTTATAAAAGTAAATCATCTAAAGGGCAAGAGAAAACTCAAAAACGATAAATAAAAATGATAGTCCGATATAACTTTAAAACCCATGTATTAAAAAGGCCGGCCCAAATTTAGGCTTGAGGGAAAATAGTAGGGAGGCATCTACATAGAAGATTTAATTTAAAATTAAAAAAATATTTATGAAATTAAAATTAGTTGTCTTTTATAAAATATTTAAAAACTAAATTAGATATTTTATGAAATAACCTTCTCTATAAAGGAATAGCTAAAATTTTAAAAAGGTCTAAGCCATACCCAAATCGACTACAAAAGGAATTTTATTTTTAATCGAGCTACTATAAATGAAACCATGTTTTTTAGCCACAATAGAAGCTTGGTTACCATTCATTTTTTTTTTTACATAATTTTGATTAATCCATTTTAAAAGCAACCACAACTCAATTTGAATTAACTTTAAGTATATAAATCAAAAAATTTCTCTACTTCACTCTACACTTGAGCATAACTTTGACCACCAAATTCACGAACATTTTTAATCATAACGTTACGAATCTTTAAAACTCGACATTAATAACCAGTTTTTGTTTGAAGTAGTAATAAATACCCACAAAAGCTTCAAAAATTTCAACAAACATATTGACAATCACATGTGTAAGGATCAAAACATTTTCCATAAGCAAATTTCACCTTCAAGTCTGGACAATAATCATTGCAATTCTCATTTTGATAGCCAGTTGGTATTGTTGAAAAGGAGTGACAAAACATAATGTTTATTTTCTTATTGTTATTCCCATCACCTAAAAAAAATGTCATAATTAAATATTTTTTAATATAAAAACACAATAAATCGAAAAAAAACGATGTATAAGTTACCTGTTGTTGCGATTGATGCTTTTGTTACGGTTGATATTGTGATAAGTATTAAAAGGATAGCATACATCTTAACAAGCTTCACGATTGATGTTTGTGTGTTTTTATAGTGATTTCTCTTGTTTTAACAATAAGCTAAAGCAATCCATCATAAAATTAGATATTTATAATTTTAAGAGAACCAAATTTGTTCCACAGTTACCCTACGTATTCGATCATTAATTAAGGAATATATTATTATAATTATAAATATTAATTCTTTGTAATTAGAAAGCACACATGAGATATTTAACCTCAATCATATCATACATAATAATAAGTACATTAAAGACTTACAAAAGAACTTTAGTTACTTTTATCATTTGTTTATGATTTATGAAGATTCTAGCATAAAACATTTTTTTTATACCATTAGCTGAATTAATACATTTTGAGAAATTAAATATCCTTATACTTTTCTTCTTATATATATCACTATCAATTTGAAATGATGACAAATGTATTTAAATATTTTTAATCTTATGCAAATATTACACATGTCACCATTTCACATGGATAGGAATATAAGTAGGAAGAAAAAATATAAGGATATTTAATTTCTCATATATTTTTTTATTACCTTTTGATATATGACATGTCTACTTGTTACCTATTCAAGCAAGGGACTTTCAATTTTGATTCCAATCAACTCCAATTTGAGATTTGTTTCGACTTTAACCATACATTTTTTATTATTACCTTCCCAATCAAGAACCAATGTCAAAAAGTGAATCAGGGAATTAGTATTCAACATTGCTCGCAAACACCGTACAAATCCGAAATCATTTCCAGACCGAAACAACACCATTGAGGTCAATTCAATTTCGACTCGGACTAAACAACAATGAATCTAGTTTTACTTTTAAGCAATATCGACTCAAACTAAGATTCACTCAAGTTGCTTTTAATCAATTTCAAAACCAAAATCAAATATATTCAACTTAAAATCACATAAATATAGTAAATCAACTCAAAATCAATTAACAGAAAACGAATTCGGAAAAATCAAAATCTAATTTAATTAACTTTTACGAGAATACGGAAGTGAGATAGACAAAAATACGATGATATTGAAATTTGTTGGACCCAATCAAATAAGAGGATGAATAGTACAGAACAATTGAAATTGGGCTTGGAAGTTGGATCGATGAATAGTATCACTTTGAAATTTTGGACTCATATTTTGGATTAAGTTAACATTAACATATTATGATTTGCTTGGGCTGAAAAGTTAATCAAATTAAATTTGATGTTTGGGCTTGATCTAATTTTTTTTTCCCGATCATTAACGGGGTTAAAACGAAATAGATCCAATGAATCAAATCGATCAACAATCAGGAACGAAAATCATGATTTAAAAAAAAAATGATTGAATTATAATTTTGAGAAAATCCTTGATCGTTCATCTTCGATCTCAACATGAATTTTTCGGAATCCATTTGAGAATTTAAGACAGGTTCTTGATGATTCTTTTTCTATTTGCAACATATGTGTAACAACCTGTTCCGAATCGTTTCACATTTGGGTGTGGGTGACGTAATTTAAGTGATCCAGGTGTTTGGTTTGTGTTTTGGAGTCAAGCGGTATTTTGGTTAAGTTTCAGCTCGGGATTTTATGGGAATTGGATTCTTGTTTAGGAAATTTTAAGGCAAGTAAGAGTTGATAAAAGCGTAGAGCTTCTCGTTAACTTTTTGTGAATACAAGGATCGTTGAAATCGTACTTATAATGAAAAAGTTATGGCCTTCGGAAGAATTTAGGGTTTAAAGATAACCCTAGTACATGGGGTGTATACAGGGAGTACGCAGGGCATACTAGTGCAAGGTCTAATACTCGAGGCATACACAGGCGTACATTGAGCGTATTAAGCAGGTTGGTTACAGATCCGAGGTCTCATATGTTGGGCATACGAAGGTTACACATGGCGTACGAGGAAGATAAGAAAACCCTATTTTGGGGTGTTGAACACTATATAAGGTGCTTAAATCATAATGGTTGGCCTCTTTATTAGCCTCTATTGGCCTAAAATTGTAACATCCCAAATTCGAGACACAAATTGTTTTTCTTAATTAGATTACTTACACAAGTAGTTTACGGAAAACATCATGGTTATCATTTCAAACATCAAGTCACAAAGCACGAGTCTCAAAAACTATATCATCAAATAGTAATATATCAGAGTACAATCTCAGGGTTTTTTAAGTGGAAATTATGTGTGTGCGATGTGCTGCTATCCTGCCGGCTCCTTCCCCTTAGTTGAAGAGGTACATGAAACCAAAACTAAAAACTGTAAGTGTAACGCCCGCAGATTCGGGCTAGTCAATTTAGAGACAATAAGCATCAAAGATGAGTTTTTTTTATGGAAAATTATTTAGAAGGATTAATCTTTTCCAAGTGGTAGTATATCTTAAAAGGGTTCCGTTCATATCAAGAACACCAAAATCCGAGTTATAACGAAGAAGTTATGACCCGTCGAAGTTTTTCGACAAAAGCGGCACGACACCAGGAGACATAAATAGTGAATTTACGATAGATGAATTTTTAGCCTTAGTGATATAAACAAAATTCGTAGAATATGTTAAACTGAGAGCGTCCATAAAAAGGACGCCCAAATCTGACTTCGTATGAGGATGTTATGATTTTTCTAAGATTTAGCATAACAGTGCATAGCCCGGAAATTCGAATTCTAGTTCGGTCGATTTTCAGCTAAAATAATCTAAACGAGAAATGAAGATATCGTTAATAATAGTTAAACGATAAAAATATAGTTGAAAATAGAGCTCGTATGCGAAAGATATGGACGAAGCTTAATCTCTACTTTTCGAGCATGGTGAATTCGATACAGTTTTGTAAATCTAAGACAAAATGAGAATTAGCCAACGGAATCTAAATGAAAGTTGTAGTACTAGTAAAATGAGTGGATATAAATAACGTCAAAACAGAGCTCGTATAGGAAAGATATGGACGAAACTTAGTCTCTACTTTTCGAGCGTGACGAATTCGAATACAGTTTTGTAAATCTAAGATACAATGAGAATTAGCCGACGGGGTCTAAATGAAAGTTGTAGTACTCGTAAATACCAACGTGTGGATATAAATAACATAGAAAACGAAGCTCGTACGTAGAAGATATGAACGAAGCTTAGGGGTTACTCTACGATAAAATCCCTATAAATAAAGGATAAATCCTTCTTATTTTCATCACACCATAACTTTTCTTTCTCTCTCTAACTTCTCTCTATCCTCCCTAAACCCCTCCCAAGTCCAGGGAACCTACCTAGCATGAGAAAGAAGCCCCGGAGCGCCCGACGGCTCCGAGAAGAAAAGCTTTCGGCTTGGTAACATTGCTCCAGCGGAGCCCGGTTTTGAGAAAAAATCCGCTGTAAGTGAGCTACGCCTATCCTATCTTTAGTATAGCTTATGTTTTAATATATTAGTGTTATTATAATAAGTATTTGGGCTATTATTATGAGTTATATAAGTTTCGTTATAATATCGTTTTAACCATTCGCGGTATGGGGAATCTAGCTTAAAGGGCCATATAGGGTTGTTGGATTTCAGAAGTGCTATATGCCAAAATGGTCTTGCCCTCCGGTGTTTTATGTCTGGACCCTATCTGTATATAGTGGTTGGAAATATTGTTTCGTACTTATATAATAGTAATAATAGCAAATCTATTAATTAGTCTCGGTGAATATTAGACTAAAACTCTAGTGGTAATGATACTAGGTTTTGTCAAAGGAAAATTGTGTTATGAGTAACGAAGTGCTGTCCGAGTGCCGAGTCAACACCTTTTTAGGTGAGTGAATAGTCCCTTTCGTCTTACACATAGATATGAAGTATTTTAATATAAATTACGTGATATGTGTGCATATTGTCTGAATACTTGTTGTCTACACTGGGTGAAAGATTTTTATACATGTTTTAAATGATTTAAACTGTACATGTATTTTATATCTACAAAATATGTTGGGTAAAACATGGGTAGATGAAATAACTGCTGTGTGATAACACAATGAAAGACATCAATGTTGACAGTGATCCAGTCATCTAGTGGAGTATAGATGACAACCACGCACTATACTAGACAGTCGAGTGGAACGCTAATAGACTCGTAACCTGTAGATGTTTTTGAACTAGGTGCTCATTATGTATTTTGAACTAAGTGTGTTCACGATGTATTTTTGAACTAAATGTGTTCATTAGTTATTTTTGAACTAAATGTTCACCAGATGTTTTGGACTACGTGTTCACCAGTTGTAATCTATAAACCTTGGTAATGATGGGCTTCGTGCCAATTCCTTAGGATGATTCTTAGGAATAAATGAATGAGGAATAGTTGATTCTTAGGGTAGATCGTTAAGAGTAAAGAAGATAATGAGGATGAGTAATTGGTTTGATTAATTGTTTGAAGATTAAACATAATAATTATATTATTGTGGGTTGAAAAGCCTATGTACTCACCAGGTTTCCCAACCTGACCCACTTAGTTTATTTATATCACAGGTGTTGAAATGAAGTCACATTACACTGAGAGATTAAGGAGATGTAAATCACTAGTGATAATGACTGTAAGTTCTGTTACGGTGGATACCTAGGCACCCAGAGACGAGGAAGGGCGTATTAAGCGATGAAATGCTTCGGGGAGTTGAAAATAAGCATAGATCTGGAGATTCTCAAATAGGTTAACCTTTCAAACTGCTGTTGAATCCACGAGCAGGCATGAGAGAACCTGGTGAACTGAAACATCTTAGTAGCCAGAGGAAAAGAAAGCAAAAGCGATTCTCGGGTTCTGTTTATGCTCATGTTTTCGTATTGACGATGACATCCCAAATGTTTTATATGAATAAAAATACTTTTCCTCGGAAATGCCTTGATAATGTATTTATCATGTTTTACTGGGAACAAATTCTACAACATTTTTATTAAAAGAGGTAATTTGATTTTTATAAAGCATAAAGAAAATCGGTCTTTTCTGGCCGTGAAAATGGGGATGTCACAGTAAGCACGGAGCTTTATGAGTTCCCCCATCA